GTTCCACTCGGAACCCAAGAGAATAATAATAAGAATCTACCTTTGTTCAACAAAATTGACTTCCATATCTCAAACACATAGGCTATAGCTATCATTCTCTCCTAGATTTGAATGAACATGCGATTGCTCACTATGCCTGAGTATTTAGAGTAGCAAATCAAGTAATCAGGAAACCAAGACCAGATGCTTAGTAGATTTTGCTATTTAACCTGTTAAAATATGACAAAAGTAATGGACTGCAAGTAATTACCAGTAACTTCTGGTTCAAATGAATAATCCGTAGAAATTACAAAAAGATATCTGTACAGAGGAAATCATTTTCGATCAAAATGCTATTTAACCATGATCTAAATAAACAGAAATAATCTAGTCTGGGTTGATGTCCCGTTGCATGTCATTATTATTGGGAGAATAATGGTGAGTGGCTTTAAGCACTGGATGAAAAGTGTCCGGTCTATTGTTCTCCGGATAAGATGAAGTGAACAAATCTTTTCTGCTGTCAATTAACGCTTTTTCGGAAGGAAGGAAGGAAGAAAGGAAATATAGTGAATCACTGTCCATCTTAGTTGTCGACTTTGGAAATACGGTGATGAATCCTTATTGTTATTCCCTACGCTCGTAAGCGGAACATAGCGCTTCCTCAGCACATCTGCATTCTGATCTGTTCTACACTGTCTTTGTTTTTACTCGACTCCACGATTTCCAACAAGCTGTCATTTTCTCCTTAAGTGATGCAACGGAAAAATTGTTTGGAAAATCACTCCTGAACAATCTAATTTCAGTACTGATAATTATTTGGGCGTTCCAACTAACCTTGTAATTATCATCCTTTTTTCTCCTATACCACATATCATTGTTTTGACGTCTTCATATCATCTGCTGACTCGATCTTTATGATTTATTCATTTCCCTGCCTAATTTCTAATTTTAACGCTTCTCTTTGTGGTTGTGCGATACACTGATAATGCGTTGCTTTACAATGTTATTAGTTTGAGTGAGTCAAAGTCATTCTGGCCCTTGACTGTGTGCCGGAATTGTTGGCGCAAGGTTCTTATAATGAATGTTCTACTTGACTCTGAGGTACTTCTCAGAGTTGAATTTTGCGTGACTAATTTTGTTCTACAGTGCTTGTTTTGTACTTAGAGGATTATCCTGCCTGTGTAGATGCCTAACGACACTGTTGAAGTAACTTTGAGTCCTTGATTTCATAACTGTAGGATAGAACAACAGAGATTCCAACTACACATAATAGTCATTTTGCTGTCTTTGGAAAATTTTATAACTGTGAGTTTCTCTAGACAGTTTAATCAGTTATGCAGTAGGACGCTAAGTTGGAATTCTTGAATTCAGACCACAATGTGTCGGTTTTGGTCGTAACGCACGATCCCTCCTTGTTCCATCAAGGTTTATTAGAAAGGCAAACGCGTTTTTCACAATTTTCTCGTCAGTATATGCGGATAGGAATCCACTTTCATTTTCTTGGAATAGTTGTTGGAGTGTATATTCGTGATCTCTTCTTTCCCAAAATTCTGTTTTCTTGATCGTTTCTGGCTAGCCACCCGTGTAGCGTCAACTAGGTGAACTGTTGATAATAGTCGGAAGCCTTTTCGGAATGATGCGTCAAGTCTCTGAACCACACAGAGACACAGACTGACTGGACATTTGTGTTGAAAATCCGAATCTTGTTGTGCCTGCTTAGTGCAGAAGATTTCCACTTTAATCTATCCGGAGCTAATTAAGAATCACTTTGTTACACTGCAAACGGAAAGCGTTCAGTAAGACGAGTGGGTTACTGACGAATCAACTTGTTCATTAAGCATGGAGCCTCCTGCTAACTGATATTATGTAACATTCGCAAGCGTGTTAAAGCTGTGATCTGCATAAGCTCAATAATTAATTTGGTCTGAATGCAGGTGATTAGGAGGCAACGAAATAAATGAGGTAACCATCTTATTCTGCACAAACTTCTGGTCATTAATCGTTCAACTCTCCAACGCTGTTATAGATAGACACTGATTTCATACAAGAAATTAGCGAATATCACTTTATTGCTTCTATGTAATGGCAATGTTAGGTTTACATTTGAAGGCGACTGTTTCTGTCAGGTCGATGGTTTCGCCATGAGAATTCCGTTGAGCCACTTTTTAGCAGATATCTATATGTCGCACATTGAAAGATTATTGGAAGTTTTAATCGAAATTGCATCACTTTATAGAAGATAGGTTGATGACATTATAATCATAAGTGATAAGTTTTGTTGTTCTACCTCAATTTGAAATCGAATGAATGAAGTTTAGAATAGCATATCAATTACGTATATAGAACAGGAATATAACTTTTTGTCTTTCCTGGATATATTCCTTAGTTGACGGCTTGATGGGTCAATAAAGCGATCTATTTATAGAAAACCTACCTGGACAGGACAGTATCTTCATTACCACAGTTTCTGCCCTGTTAGGTACAAAAGAGCCTTAGGGAGTGAAGTGCCTCTTCAGTGGAGTCCAACGAATATACACTGAAGACACACTTGATGAGTTCACACAAACTCTGGTTGATAATAATTATCCAGACAAGTTCATCAGGAAATATAATCTGACCAAAACACCAAGACTCACTCTACAACTCGTCACTAAGAAAGATGCATATATCAAGCTTCCCTATATGAGTGCTTATAGCAGCTTGATAACTAGAAAAGGTTGAACGCTGCTATTAAAAAGACTTTTCATGCAGCTCATATCATAATAATTGGGAATGTGAAGCCAATGTAAATATCTAAGCCCTTCGAAAATGAGAAAAGCGATGTCGCATCACACTGTATTTACCAATTTGAATGTACCTTTGGCCACACATACACAGGGAGGATTCATCGTTCTTCGCAAATAAGAGCTGGCTTCAGAGCACATACTTAAATGGATCCAGTAGCATTGGGAATCCCCAGAAACAATCGGTGGTGAGAATAGGAGACCTAGTTCCTCTATTGCGAAGCATATTATAGAGACAGGACATAAAATAGATTTTTACGCGCCTTTAAATCAGTCGATAAATCGTGTTTGAGGGTAATCCTACAGTTTGTGGAAGCCCTAGCTGGCGATTAGAAAGTTTAAACCACCCTTATGTTATCAAAGCAACAATTCGTCATCACACTAAACCTTCCTTGGTTATCTCTGTTTTTATACCAGCCAGGGGAGATGTACGATTACCTCTGTAATTTGGCTTAGTGATCTTCATTGTTATTTTGACTGTCAAAATGTTCTTCTAACTTGACCTAAATTTATTTTCTCACCTCTTAATGCATCAATATTTTCATATGTATACAAATATATATATATATATGTATTTGTGTGAGAATACAGTGTGTGGTCAAATTGTTAGAAATGTGTTGCGCAAATGCATTAAACAATTCAGACAAATAACGTCTTCCTATTGTTTTGTCTAAATTCATAAAGGGAACTAACTGTTTTTTTGAACATTATCTTGTCAGAATCTAAGCATCCTCTTTATACATAACACAACACCACCAGGTAGGACTGCATGCAACTATAAAAGACTTCAATTCGAATATGCGTAGAATTTATTTTGATGAAGTCTCACAGCGTTTTATACATTAGTATTCACTGATGACGTTTCAAGCACAATTTATTGCCACTCATAATCATATCGAGGTACCAATCACACTAATTTCTTACTTCGTTTATGTAATTCCACTATTCTTCATCGCTTGACTTGATTGTAAGTAGTATTTTCCATATTTCCGGTACGAGCGATGAGTCATTGCATAGTATTGCACGTGTTGGGTGTTGACTCGATGAGCAAGGATTCAGTAATCAATATCTCTCTCCACCTACCTATATTGCTTCTTAGAATTTTAACCCTCTCCCATCCAACGAGGTGTAAGCTTTCGTGTTAACGCATTCAGTGCAATGTAGTGCTGAGCTTTTTCCTTAATTTCTTACGTTCGTGGGGTCCGTCCTTCTAACATTAGCTTAATTCTTATGCTCCAACAATCTGCCTAACCTGGATCTACTATTTTGACCTATGCAGTTGACCCGATCAACAGTCATTATTTTGTTTAATTGAGTCCACCGGGTCCTTTATCCTACAGAGCTTGCATCTAGTATGTTTTTAGGTTTGACTGCCAACCTAATTTCTGTTTCCTTTTCACTTCATATAAATTAGTTAGCCTACAGTTTGAATGATTTCTAATAGCACATAGTATTAGAGTCAATTGTTTTGATAATTCATATGTAGGGGCATTTCTGAAATCTACTACTCTACGATATATTCTACTAGCATTATCAGTTTTAGGCGTTGAATTAAACCACTTGGATCAAATTCATTATATTGCCAAAGTAGAATCGCTTCCATAACATACACGAATTTCCCTTTATTTATTTATATTCAACTATAATTGTGTTTGAAAATGCACAAAAATACTACGCTAACTCATGGAAATACTAGAACACACCCCTTAAATGCTTCAATGAAAATGAAGCCTGCACACTTGAAATGCCACTTAACACTTTTCAGCAGAGTACTCATATGATCTTGAAACATCTACAAGTCATCAGCTCTCATTACTGGTGCTACTGGTTAAAATTCTACTACGATCTTAATTTCCATTCAACGCCTAAAGAAGACTCAGGCTGCGAATATATACAGATGGACTACTCTCCTTCTTTATTGAGGCATTTTTGCATGATTACAAAGCAAAGCATTTTAATGAGCAATAATATTTAGCCAAAGGCAATTCTAATTTGTACGATTCCTTTTTAAAATCATTTCTCTTCAAACTACGTCACAATATCTATTCGACACTTCATTGTTAATAACACAATTTGAAAATATGTGCTTATAACATTATACCAACGGCAGATTTTCCAAAATTCCATATTTTCACTTGAAGTAGTTCTCAGTGCATCAGGGAAAACTACAAGTAATGCAAGTAATTTTTATTGTTACGCATCATTGTTCACCATGACAGCATTACACATAGTTACTCATTAAGAGTGAGAGGTAAATAGTGATTCATATTCTTTTGGATCCCACGAATTTCCTGCCATAAACATGTTCGGTGATGTGGAGAAAAAATAGGAGAATTTGTACATCATCAGATGAGGGCATATTATTATCAAATGACATGTTACATAAGCGACTGTATGTCTTCAGGAAAGTGAGTCAGTTTGCTTCAATTTTTCAGTACAAGACGTATACTTCAAAATACATTTTACACAGTTCGAATTGGTATTTGATGGTTGGAAGCAATCAGCCACAGGAAGCCTTGAACGTAGGTTTCGCGCAAGTTTGCACTCGTCAGTAAAGCGTATCTGCAACCTCAGTGGCGAGTTGATGGCGAGACACCTAGCATGGTGGCTACATTGCAAACTCGACTGATAGAATTCAGTCTGCACCAAATAGAGGACTGGACACACACATTACTCTGATCACTAACTAGTGTCCAATCAAAAGTATCCAATACAGTCAGTCCTACAGGAAGTCTGTCACAAGCTCGAATGGCTCAATGACAACGTCTCTGAGTGAAGAGCTCACTGGTTGACGCACGTTCGAATCTTAGAAGGGACCCGAGTTCCTTCAAGGTTGTAGATACGCTTGCCTTGCTGACTGGTGAGTGCCAACGATCAGGAAACCTAGACGAAGCAAGGCTTACTGTGGCCAATTGCCTTCAACCATGTTGGAGGTCAACATCATTCAGCGTCAAAAATAAGATCGGGATTTTCAACTCCAATATGAAGTCAGTACTACTATACGGATCAGAGACTTGGCGTGTCACAAAAAGCACCTCAAACAAGCTACAGACCTTCATTAACAGATGTCTTCGCTCAATACTCAAGATCAGATGGCCAGCCAGAAAAGATCAGCAACAAAGATCTCTGGGAGCGAACCAACCAGGAACCGATTGTGAAACAAATAGGCAGGAAGAAATGGAGATGGATTGGCCACACTCTGAGGAAACCAGCAAGTAACATCACTAGACAAGCCCTCGAGTGGAACCCGAAAGGGAAGCGACGAGTTGGTCATGCAAGGGTGACTTGGAGGAGATCATGTGAAGAGGAGATGAAAGCATGTGGGCAGACCTGGAGCCAGGTGAAAACTCTAGCAGAGAACCGAACGCAATGGAGACGCATGGCTGAAGCCCTATGTTCCTCTAGGAACTAAAGGAAATAATAATAATACAATAATAATGTAAAACAAACGGCTCACAATGTACCTTGATATCGAGCCACCTAGCACGGTGGCTACATTGCAAGCCTGACTGACAGAATTCAGTCTGCACCAAACAAGAGAGACTAGACACATCATACTAGTTACTGACTAGTGTCCAATCAACAACAAAAAATACAGTTCAAAGTGTTACATTCTTTTCTGTGTTGTGTATCATCGATGTATTTAACAAAATTCGGTCTATCCCTTCTTCAACAAATCCTTAGTAGGTAACGTAAATGTTATTCAGGGTGAACTCCCATTTGGCTTAAGTGAGTTACCATTGGAGGTTGACAGTTTCGTTTTTAAAATGAAGTACTTAGTTTTTGTGGACAGAATATGAGCTACTGTAGCATATGAATTTTTCGAAATAAATGCATTGTACTCTGGCTGGAAATGGTGATCTACGCATAATTTGTTATGATAAATTTAGATTTTAGCAAAAAGAACCATATTCCCACCGATTTCATCTGTGTAACTGCGCAATTATATATATATATATATATATATATATATATATATATCAAGCAAAGTCAAAATGTAAGCACCACTAACTACTAATCAGGGAATGACCCTCAACGAACCAATCACACGAAAGAGGCATTTCTGGTTATGGAAAACATATGCATGTTAAATGCCATACTATAGGAAATCAAGGCTAATCATTCAATGCTTAGCATACACGAACGTATTTAGAACTAAACAGCTACTGCGTTATTCCAGGATTTGCATAGGAACTAACAGATTCGGTAAAGATTTCTTCAATTCTCAGAGGGAAAATTATTCTCAGTCGTCATTTGTTCCCTCTGATGAAATATGAGCATTCTCATTCACAATGAAGCAACTGAAACACAGATCATCGTCAAAGTAGTCAACGGGCAATCACACAGGCATCAAACTTGAGCAGTTGCTAGAACTTACCTGGTTTGTGACAATCGTTAGCACCTTGATGAAACAAAAAACGGAAAAACGAGCAGTGTTTGTTAGCTTTCTCAACACTGACTTTCCAACTTCTCCATAAATACAAATGACGAGACTAAAATACCAACCAGACGTTATTGCATGTATACCCAACCTCATCGCCTACATAAATTTATCCGTAGAATGCTAACGATTATATTGATGTTAACTTTAGCCCTCACTGGAACATATGGCTTCGGCAATACACTGTTCACTGCAACAGGTAGCTATTTATTCGAGTTCCACCCGAGCGAGGGCTGGTATGATGTTTGATGTCAATCAATCGTCTACTCTGAGCACAGTATGTTCGCCAGCTAGGCTGTTTGGTTGCCATCATTTGCCAATATTTACAGAAATGTTTATCCAAAATAACAGAATAACTGAAAACAGGTGTAGGTAGAATATAAATAACTTGTTCACTGTAACTTTCACATCGAACTATCTCTGTTATAGTTGTGACCATAATGAAATCTTTTTCTTTGTAGTCCAAATATTCCTTCAGGATTAGACAACAAATACACTGAGCCATACCAGTAATTATGAAGGATGGAAAGTTAAAATCTCCTCGTTTCTCTATTATCGCATTATTTGGTGCATGGAAACTCAGATAGCTAAAGTGTAACGCAACGCCTGTAATAATTTTCAAGTACTCACATTGTTTAAATGCTGCAGTAGTATTCGCTAAGAAACAAAACAAGCATAGGACATTGGAACTTTACACTAAGTGAAGAATAAAAATGTGCTGACCTGATGTAAAAGCAAATGGTCTGTTTTCACACATTTACTTTCATAGAATGCATTAAAGGTTTTTAGATGTTAGAGCTACTTTCTGTGGTTCCAGCACAAATAGCGTTGGTATTTGCAGTAAATGTAGACGAGATTCGTATGTCGTGCAGTAGGATAATTCACAATTTTCTGGGTCTTTATTTGATTTTTAGATACATTCACAGTGGAAGGAAAGACAGAAATGTCTGTGTACCTGGTATATGACAATATTTTGAACTCATGAAGATACTGTGTGTGTGCGTGTGTGTCATGAATCAATCATTCAACTATGCTGTTATACATAGAAACGCGGAAACTTGATATACCACTCACTGGGTTTGGATTTATATCATCAATGCAAGCATTGTTTACTGGTTGTGTAATATATAAGTTCGTCTCATATATATGCCAATTAACGAACTTTTTCATTGGACAATTAATGTAGTACGTTTACCAAAGTGGTACTTATTTGGCGATGAATGCGACTGTTGAGTCCCGCAATGAAAGACTTATTATTATTGTGATGGTAAAGAAGTCGACTAGTTGTCGTCAGGGCACTGATACCTGATTCCTGTGTACTACTGTAGAGCTGTCCAAAACTTCCATAAGGCACGTGCAGTTACGAAACACTCTGTAGACAGGAAACGGACGATTATTCTTCCAACAAAGTGCAGTTCTATTAAACACTAATAATAATATCAAAACTCGAATATAACTATAACAGTGCCGGTATACAGCTTCACAGCCCAGTTTAACTACACAACGAGAACTTAGAATCTAGTAGACTATTCCTATCAAGTTGAGATCAAAAACTCATTCCACAAGAATAGTCCATAAACGCCTATCGTGGATAGACGAAGATCAGAATCACCTACATTCAATTAAAACAAAGTCACATCGTACAACACATTACCACTGCCAGCTGTTCCATCCTAATTCGTAACTCTTCATCAATAAGCACTCATCACCAGGACCTTCTGATAACAAGACGAGCTTGCTCGTAGACCATTGAGAAAGTGGGACCCGATTCAATGACCAGTCCATGAATTCTAACCTCTGCCAATTCATGACATAGTGTGACCAATTCGCATCGTGTTCTTTGACGAGTTACTGCCTCATCTTCAACCTGCTGTACCCTACTGGTCACGGCTTCCCACTAGTGTTGACTAAATTCGCATTGAAACTTTAAAAGGAAATAAAGCTCATAACATATTTGTGATCTTGAGTAAATTATTTATAATATCACGGAACAGCTTTCAACCAGAAAACGTGACTATGGCTTCAGCTTTGTCATCCACGGAGAACCGATTATGCACTAAATTCTGCAAACCAGATGAAAGGCCACATAACAATTATGAGTATCTGCTTGATGGAGTTACATTAATCTGTGTAGAAGCATTCGAACTAGAGTACGGTTTTATCATTTTCCTAATCAAAAACATTTGGGAGTTGCATCATTAGCGTTGTAACAATAGAAGACAAGACATGAAAGCCAAGGTATACATTTTACTTTAATCAAACGCTGTTTATATATTAACAGTTTATATTCTTTAACCCATCACTGAGCTTGTGATTTTGGTCTAAATTAAACGACGTGAAATAGAATGTTCAAATATACAAAGTATTTGGCTGCGTATGCAGTATTGAACTGAGGGAATATGTGAGGATCATATTCCGTTGGAACACATTGTCTTCATCACACCAACACAGCGTGACACGAATTATTAGCTTCCTTTTTTTCCTTCACGTTCCCCAGTGGAACATAGGGCTTCAAGCTAGTGGCTTGAAGTTTCTGTAGCAGTGTTTATTTTACAGGATTGGGTTGCTAGTCTCATGCCCAACCTTTCCTCTTCACCAGCATTATTTCTGGATTAGCGAGGTAAAGGAGTGCGTCGGCCGGCGATCGTACCCCGAACCATGTGCACGGTCGGCGTGCGTCCTAACCGCTATGCTACGCACCGTCCATTGCACTGCCATTATCATTATGTTTGCGATGTCTTCTGTTCATTCTCCTTATTTGAAATTCCACCATGCACGTGGTCCAGGGTTCCATTCCCAGCTGACGCACACATTCATCTCCCCTAGCCGGTTCGTTTGTGAGGCTAACAACCCAACGCCTTATCAAAATAACACCACTGCAGTTGAATCTGAAAACTCAAGGCGTATGTTCCACAAGACAGAATGGCTTACTTTTTATTCCACATCGAAAATAACCTGAAATTGAAAGGATCAGATACAGAGATGCTTTCACTTATCGATTTTTACTATGAATTACTATGAATGGCTTTCTCGTCAGTCTGTCTGTGGTTTAACTTTTCAGGGTTGTCATAACTTTATGATGTTGACAAATACAGAAATTGCACATCTTAGACGTAATTATATCAAAAATGGTTGAAAGTTCAGTTGTACGTCCAGTGTGCAGTTCAAACTAAATGCCTATTTGATAACAGATGAAGATGGTTAAGCCTACAGTTGTTTCACTTCTATTCGATGAGTTTTTAGAATCACCTCTTCAAAGAGGTCGTCTCCAATTTTGACAGATATGCAGGTGATATGCTTTTAGAATTTCTGACAAAAACTGTTCGACTAGTGAACTGAATGAATTACTGATCTGTTGTCCTGATCGTGGATATGTACAATTCTACATCTTATCCAATCAATGTTTCGTTGATGAAGAGGAAATATCATAGTCCGCCAAAATTTGACCTAACTTTCCTATAAGGCTGCCTGCATTCATGTTGGAAGCGAAACAACATTCATTCTTTGTGTTCTGCAGAATGGAAGATCTGTTATGATGCTATGATAGATCAATTTCTCGAAAACATTCTACAGATAACTTTAAATGAAGCGTATATATACATCTATATGTATACGATGGCCAGCTGGTGGAAACTCTCAATTACAGATGACTCTTAGAAAAACTACAGAAGTGAAGAAGGAATTTATAGTGAATTAATGATCCAAAGCTGATATTATTGCCAATATCTCTGTACTCATTGGTAGAAGTTGAGAAATATCTATCGATCAGTCAGCTCTAACATGATTATGTATTCAGAATTTGTCTGTGGTGATTCAAACAATTTCTTCTCAAATAATATCAGATACTGAGCTATAATATCATCTGAAATGTCTTACAGTTATGAAAACCACTTTGTATGTCTGAAAAAAAATAAAAAAGTGAGAATTGATTTATTTAAAGTACTTTGAGTTTCATTTATTTATTTGAGAAGACGTAAAGTTTGTAAACATATATAAGAATTCCACTGAAGCAATTTCGGTAAAACACTTTGATTACTTTGCATGAGATGATTTAGATATACTAATATTAGATTAAACTCAACACATGGATTTAAAGTTTGTAAGGGTCATTGAGAGAGGAAGACGTGAAAAGGCTAGCTAGCTGACTTTAGTCAAAGGCGTCTGCGTTCTATCTTCCCTCTGAAGTGGTATACTGAGGTGAGCAGTACTGAGGTTAGCTGCCGGTGGAGAGCTACGTAGGAAGGGGAAATCAATACACAAGGCTGTGGAGTTACATCGATTGAGATGGTTAGGACACGTGTTACATATGCCTTGCCAACACCTTCTTCGACGGACAATGTTAGCTGACATAGACTGGATCAGGTTGGAAAAGAGCCAGTGGTGGACAAACCAAAACGTGGTCTCATCAGTCAATGACATCGACAACAGTTAATGGGTTCTAATTGACTAAATGATGCACACTCACTGCTAATATGTATATCGTCGCTGGAATTCCAGCTGTTATTCCTAATCTCCTCTAATGTTGGGTAATACTCACATGTTACGTTTATTAAGAATTCAGAGGTGATTATTTGAGAATTAGTTGTGAAGCAAAATTGGTTAGTCTAATGGCAGTTGGTATAAACTGAGCCATTAAGTTTTAGCATGAAGTTTATGGAATTAATTAGACATACTTTCACGACAAACTTTGGGACCTGTAGATTCATTTAGAAAGTTAAAATAATAAAAGTCAGAAAGCTCAGCACAGCATTGCTTTTAGGTACACAAAAGGGCGGCAGGGGTGATTACCACTTCGCCGTATGAAGTAGAATTATAACTATTCACTTTGGTTTCGTGTGGAACATACCACTTCAACAACACATCTCCACTGTGTCCAATTTTCCGCTGTCCTCTTCTTCTAAGCCCAAAGGCTGCTTCAGTCTCTCATCTCTTTCTCGCCACACTATCTCCTCCATGTGACCCTCGCACCGACGACACACTCGAGCCATGGCCTGCATTGTGCAAGATGTCATACGATGGCCTCCTGAGTAAATGACTAATTCACCTCCATTTTCTCCTACATATTTAATGAACAGTCGGCTCTCGCACATTGGTTTTTTCCACTGCAGAGTTTCTTGTCTATAATTCGTTCTGGTCGACTAGCCATTTGATCTTTAGTGTGAAGTAAGTGAAGAAAGCCATTGATAGAAGTCTGCAGTAGCTTGTTGGAAATCCTTTTCTTGACACACGCTGAAAGCTGCTGAACCATATAGAAGGACTGACTTACTTCACACTTTTTTGAAGGTCTGAGTTTTGTTCTTTATGCTGAGGAGTGCAGACGATTTCCAAACCGATTATAGGTTGATGAAGGCATCTTCTGCCTTTCCAATTGTGGCTGGCTGGCTGGCTGACTTTGACATCTTCATCCGTTCCACCGGCCTTTGTTCGAAATCACGCTATCTAGATGAGTGAAGGAAGTAATCTCTGTCAAATCTATCCCATTATTAGTGATTGGTGCTGGTTGTTGTTGCTGTTGGCTGGTTATCTTCATCACCTCCATCTCAAAATTTGCTTTGTTCACCTGGACACCTGTCTTCGGTAAAAGAGAGCCTTTTCAGCCAGTTTGTTGGTTTTCGCCGTCCTGCATGTCTTTGAATTTGTGTGACATTGAACATAGACCATCCACATCCGAAACCCATATCTTCTAGTCCATACATATATCGGTGATCCATTCCTGTCTTTTCAATCCACACAGTTTGCGGCTAGCGAGGAGGCATTTCAAACTTTCAAGAATTTTCAAAACGACGTAATCAAAGGCAAGAGGCTAGTAAATTCGTGATGGGTAAATAACATCAATTAGCAATACGTTATAAATTGTTTAACAACTAGGGAGTATATAGTGAATTAAGTTTGCAGTGTCTTTACCACGGTGAACCAGTAGAAATCATTCAACGCAAATTTGTGGATGTTTGAAATTGACTAGTCCCTGTGACACATCAGTTTAGCCATCACACTCATATAACGAGTGATTCCTAACTCCAAAAACACACTGGGAACGACTGAATATATCAATCGACCGAATTCAATGAACAATATTCATCCATATAGTGACCTACAGAAACCCTCAATTTTGTCAGTTGTAATGTCTATCTATGACTCTGAAGCACCATATGGTGTGAATTTAAATAACTCATATTACCGGGCTTGAATTCTGTCAAATTTCCAGATTCACTTTGCAGACAAGTGAATATAAGAATGTAGCCGAAGTTAAGAACCTCCTGTTGATTGCTACCTGGGCATCTAACTAATAAACACCGTTTTCAATTCAAACATTTTTCAGTTTATGCATAATTAGAGAAGTGTAATCAGAACACTGCATAGGTAGCACAGGGTAGAATGCTCCCCAAACACACCACACGTGATCCGGGGTTCGATCACCGGCAGCCGATGAACTCCTCTGCCTCGCCAATCCAGTATTAAGACTGGTCAAGAGTGAAGGTTGTGAATGAGGTTAGCAACCGCATCCAGTAGAAACAAATACCAGTGCTACTGAGACTTCAAAAGCTCCAGCTTAAAGCCATACGTTTTACTGGGAACGTAAAGAATTTTTAAAAAATGAGAACACTAGAATTTCACTTAATAGAGTGTCATGCAATGAAAGATTCTTACATATCAATGATTGACGACGTGGATCTAACAATGGTGAAACAAAATTATACATATATTCGCTTCTTATCTGGTAATATGTTTGCAACGTAACACACAGTTAAATAGTTATCATGATTTATTTGTGATAAGAGAATCATTTGTGACCGTTTTGGTCTGCATCTACAAAATGTATCTATACATATTTTAATCAAACATTTAACCGAACAATATGAAGAATAAAGGTAGCTCTCCCATATCGAACAATCATATGATATCACGTTGGAATTCTGCTTTCGCTGTAGTCAGAAATACTTCCAAATATTTGGTGAGTTTCCTGACTGTGTCACTATTTTATTATTATTCCCTTGGGTTGCGAGTGGAACATGTAGGGCTTCAACAACACACGCCCATTCTACGCTATTCTCTACGGCCTCCCTCTTCAGCTGAATCCATGACTTTTCATAGTAGCTCATCTCCTCCTCGTACGATATCCATTATTTCACTTTCAGATCACCACCCAACTTGTCGTTTCCCATTTGAGTTCCACTGCAGGCACTGCTTGGGGATCAACACAATCCGACAGTCTACTTAGTGTATATCCGATCCATCCACATTTTCTTCTGCATATTTGTAGGGTGATAGGTTCATGGTTGGTTTTTTCGCATAGTTTCTTGCCGCTAATTCCTTGTGCTCACTAATTACATTAATAACAGGATTTCTGTTTACAGTCAAGGTAGGCAACCAATCTGATTGAGAATAACTTTAAGCTATGTAGCGTTTTCAATTTCTGAAAAGCTGTCAGTTTATACTGTTTTTTACTTCCGTCAGCTTCTCATGAGTGATTGAAATTGGAGGCGTATGAAACCGTTTTCTTTGAATTTGCAGACGGCTAATTATAAAATGCATAATTAATTAACATAAAGTCTCTATCATTTTCTTATTTCAATCATGAAGAAATATTGATCCATGGGCTAGACGAGCATTTGTGACACCATCAACCATCACATCCAGAACTGTGAATTTTCCGACTTTTAAAAGTCGGCGAATGAGGACATGTAAAGTGAGAAAAACGTTGGGAAACTGGGCAGCTTTATCCAAATAGGAATGGGTTAGATGCAACATTCAGTGCCAACTTTTCTCACTTTTTCTATATTCCCTGTATTCTCAAAGAATTAATTGCTCATTTCAACCTATTTCCCCGACACTTTCACATACGTCACTCTTGGGTCAGTACTTCATCATGAACTGATATCATGAACTGAACCTAATGAAATTCGAACTCACGACCTTCCAGTTACAAGGCGAGCTCGTAGACCGTGAATTATTGGCTTAAGTAAATGGTCTACGAGTCCGCCCTGTAACAGGAATGATCTGGGTTCGAACACCGGTGGTTGCGTACCGTTAGCGAGTCCCACACCAGGACGAAACAGCTGTCCAAATATTCTTGACTATTAGCTTTTTGAATGAAACGCAAAATCGTAATATAACCTACAACAAACAAAGCAAAACACACAAACACGCTGATCTCAGTGTTTTATCAAACGTACACTTAATAAGTGAATCATCCAATAAAAAACACTTACGAAAGTCTCGACAGTGTTTCTCGCCTGAAAAAACGTCGATGGAATATAAAACAAGCAACAAGGCTTAATGAAACAGTATATAATGAATTTATCAAATTTCAGTAGAACCCGTCAGCTGAATACTCTACATACGGGAATATATATACTCCTGAAATTACATTGGGAAATATAAGACTGATAAGCAAATAAACTACATTGAATTAATCATGCAGAACGACACATGTGAATGTTTTCCATGTCATGTTCAAATAGATAAGGGGAAAGGGAGAATGAGAAATTAAAATTAAGATAAAATGCACTACACTTCAATTACATCACTTAGATAAACAATTATTCATAAGAGAATATATCGAGAATTGTGAACTGAGTAATATTAACAGTAGAAGTCATAACGACAATAATAATGCTGAAGTGACTTGAGATGATGCTACTGATAAAAGATAGTTTTAAATGAATCAATAATAATAATAATAAGAGGTAGAATAAAATGTTAATAATAACAGTTAATAAGTAAAACGTATAACCATTGTAGATTCAGAGTGAGGACCATCTCCTTTTGTACACAAACACCTGGTTTATAAACTCGAATTACACAAGCTCCCTCAGCAATTTCAAGCAACTTCCTGTTTCTTTGTCTGCTGACAATAACAGTGAATGCATCGACAGTGTCGATATCATGTCCATAGTCCACAAGATGGTTGTTATTGAGCTTTTGACAGTTTGAATTCAGCTGTTTTCAACCACTTTGGCAAATGCTCCATCATGCGAGTAGACAATCAACTTACAGTACGACCTATGTATTTGCTTCCTTAAATACTCAGATTGATTCATGCAGTTTGAAGTGTCGACTGGTCTTTCCCATATTGTTGAAGCATTCGCTCGGTGGTGTTAAGGACGGCAAGTTTTGCAGCATAATGAGTTCTCTTGATAGCTTTATCGAGTCTTCGTTCGACTGCTTCTTGTACATCATCTCCTTTGATTGCCAAATTAATATAGACAGATTTCTTCGGAACTGTTTGGATAGTTTTGTAAGGGCACATTTCTATAGAGTATTTATCAAAGAACTACTCAGGATATTCATTCTCCAATAGAACATCGTCTGGAGCCTTTATTTAATGCTCATCTGTAAAGTCAGAATGAATTTTCAGAGCTCTATTGATTAGAGTTCTGACTAAGTTATTTTTAAAATGGATTGGCACAAACCTCTCGAAATGTATGCACTGTCTTTTCCATGAAGACTTTCTGAATATATGTCTTTCAAATGTGCCATCAGTCCTTTTCATTAGAGAAACGTCGAGGAATTTAACAGTACCATTTCCCTCATGTACCGTCGTGAAATCGAGATTCGGATGGCACGAGATGAATGTTTATCAACATGTTTTCAGCTTTTGATCTGCTTTCACAGAACATTACAAATATGATGTACAATTCACAAAGCACAACAAACATCGATGAGATGTATTCAGTGATCATAAAGTATATTAGACTGTTAATCTGAGTAAATCGAGGTTGGGATTGATTCTGTTTGAAAATAAACACCCGATAAATTCGAAAGGTGTAAGATATCGTCTCTCAATTAGGAGATAAATTATAATGAATGCTTTTAAGGATAAGGATACTATAGGAGAGGTGTTTTTGTTTGAGTCTATTTGAGTCTTAGTGTTACTCAAAAGTCACACTGATATTGACAGAAGAAAGATCGAACTTCAGATATCTAGCTAAAATAAAATATGCTCTTATCTAAATAGTTCGCAAAAAATGTGGTATTCACAGGGTGTACTTACACGTTTGGTTTGTCTTTGGTTCCTCTTTAGTTGTATGGTGTAATTAAGCGTTGAAAAAATAAAGAAAATTCAATATGTTCTTAAATTTATGAGAAATCTGATGTACATTTTCTCATTTAATTGTGCTGTCTGAGCTGGATGGTTTATTTGAGAAACTTTCATTGCCCTACTAAGCAACATCGACAGCGCATACTTCAATCTGTGGAAGTGAGCTTTTAGATTTCTCCACGAGTTTATTAGTCATCTCTCCTGGTGGGTGAATTTGGACGTGATTGGTTGTTTTTGTATGTCTTCACATCCTCTAGGCTACTTGTTCTATGGGTACTGCTTGTTTTCTTGACTTCAACTTTGACCCTCTGTGTATGGGACTTCCTTCTTATCGATTAGTAAATTTTGTCTATTTCGATGTGTCTATTGATTGATGATTCACTGGACAACCAATCATCAAAAAATTCTCTAACATTCTTGTTGTTTCCTCCATCTAATATTTGCACGTTGTCCCAGTCGAATTGATGTCCGTATTTGTCTGTAGCAGTGACGTGAGTTGGGGGGGGGATGAATGTTATGTCTTTTGACGGCTAATTTCTGATCATGGATACGAAGATGAAGAGATGTCCACTTTGGTCAGTGTAGTGTTTTCCACAGTTGTTACAATTTATTTTGTCGATGATGTTGGTTTTATCTTCTTTCTCTGTTGAGTCTTTTGGTTGACATAGAGCCGGCCGAGTGAAGTGATTTCGTTAGTATGTGTTCGACGTCAATTCCTCATCACGGTTTGAAGAGTCTTGCAGGGATTTCTGAGATGTTTCTTTATGTTTTTCTCAGTGGTCTTTTATTTGATAGGTTGGCATAGGGGAATATGTCTTTTGATGAAATTCCGTGAATATCCAATCTTATGGAAGACGTACATGAGATATAGTTCTTCAATTTTCCTTAAAGTGCTAGTGCTGCACTGAGTTCTGGCTGGCCCTCTTGAATAGTGTTTGTATACAACTCCTTTTGTGTGTTATTAGATGGTTGCTGTTGTACTTGAGTATTTGATCTGTGTGAGCTGATTTTCTATAAACTTCAGTTTCTAATTGCCCTGTGGCTGTTCACTTGACTAAGACGCCCGAAAATGGGATTTTGTTCTCGGATTCCTCTTCTCTTGTGATTTTGATGTCGTTGAAGACGTTGTTTATTGAGTTGTGAGTTTCGTCCAACTCCAAGGAAACAATCAGTACTGATACGACTAGCTTAGTGGGTGTGAAAACACACAGAGAATCAGTCGCACTGAAGGTCACCCAACAGGAGAGATGACTTATAAACTCGTGGAGAAATCTAAAAGCTCACTTCCACAAATTTAAGTATGCTCTGTCCATGTTGCCCAGAAGGGCAATGAAAGCTTCTCAAATAAACCATTCAGCTCACAAAATCATCGACATGAGCCATAAATCTTCTCCATCATACCCAGATGCAATGTGCATATTAACTTTAGACCATAGATAAGTAACTAACTTCATATATTAGGAGATTAATTTCATATGAAATGTTTTTCAATGGACATTATTTGATGTCCTACTCAAAATCAGTGAACTCTAAGTTTAAGTTGTTATGTAATAATCGACAGAAAATCTGAAAACTACTCTCCATGATCTTAGAATTCTGAAACATTCATGTATATACTTGCATCAACCGTAAACTAACGAAAAAAGCTATCAAGCCACTCTCTATGACTTCTGGATTATAAGTCCTTTTCCAGAATACAATATCGAAAACACAGTCTAGAACTGTGCTGTGTGGTGCTACTTAGCTTAGTTTTGTTTGTGAACAACTCTATTGGTATCAAGTAAAGGAACTGAATCCTCTGCCTTTTTTACTGATCCCCAGTTTTAATGAAATTCAGAGACAGGAATATTTGGCGTTTATATTTTTCTAACTTATTAGATGTCATTCTGAAATTACGCAAGCCTTCACAGAACATTTTTTTATTACAGCTTGATTCCACACCATATTTTCAGTACAAGTATGGAATTTTCAGCATGGATATCGGTAGCCCAAATTCAGGCCGACCATAGATATCGGGTGTGCGTAGGCAGGGGATAGAACCCCGGACCATGTGCATGGTCGACGAGAGTCCTAACCACTGTGCCGCTGACGCGCACTGAAACAAGAATTAGACTGAAGAGAATCCAATGACCAAGGGGAATAAGAGGCGCCTTGTGCAATAATTCTTATCCACATACATCCGTCTATTAGCTCATTCATCGTTTTTCATAGAATTTCAGACTGGCAAACTCTGCTCACTTTCAAGGTACCTAGAAATGTGTGAAAATTGTATTCACTTTCGTATATTTATGGTAAACTTACCGTAGCATGGATCAACACCTAGCATAAACAGTTACATCATACTCTGAGTAATAATCGGTAATAGACTTTAGACACAGTTTACATGAACTGATGTTAGTAGTAGTTATAAATGCGTGTGAAGATTGAAGACTGTTATTACAGCTATTTTGCATTCCTGCATATAAAGTACAACCCTGAGTAGTTCACTAAATAGTTCCTAGACCAGGAATCGGAGGAAGGGTATGAACGAGTCCGATGACTCTACCTCGGAGAATCAATCATACAAAGGAAACATTGAAAATATCAAACTTATTCCTGACGGAGTCGAAGAGGCGAAATGACACCGGCTAGCTGAAAGCATTTTGGGGGCCAGTCAGGCAATATATTTTCTTCCGATAAAAACGAAGATAAGCATGTGTACTATTCATGCCTGATGTTACACACACTCAAAGATGAACAGGTGAAATCCAACACGTTGGTATAGTGAGCAGCCGAAGGAGGAATTCATATGGACATATAGGAGACAGAATTAATAAGCATACCTAATCAAATCAAAATGCACTAACTATCATCAACGGGAGACGTTTTCAAGGGAGTTACTGGTTGCACTTACGAATTCAGCATCGTTCTAAGTGTATCCAGTACAGATGAGGATGTCAAGGTTAGGATCTTAATTAGACCTGATAGGTGTGAATCTTTGCATTATGATTCATTGGTTTGTCAGTTTGCTCTTCATGAACACAGGTAATACACATTACAACTGACCACGAACTGACTTCAGTCAGAGAACTGTTGAAAACTACTGATCACTGAATGTCTGTTTTGTCCTAATTTGGAAATGTTATACATCGAAAACCAATGACTGGACTACTAAGGATCGAAGCGTTGGACTTTCACGTTACAAGGTAAGCTTGATGACCATCGAGGCAGTGGGACAATTTCGACTACTGGAGTGGTGATATAGGCAAACCACTGAAAGACCACGAAATAGAGCGAAAAATCTGTCCACTACCTCTTGGTTCTTACTGGTATTCTATCTGAAGTATGTTTGCGGCCAGTATCAGCATTAATTAAAAGCATGCTAAGCAACATTTCACAGTACACGGTGTTTTCACGTAAAACAGTGAAACAGACGAAACTGTAATATTATATGTATTGTGTACATTACTGAATGTACAATCTGAATGAGAAGATGCAGTGTGATATGCACCATAATAACTAACTTACATTTGTAAAACTCCGTTTCATTGGGGGCTAAAAGATTGAGAATTGTTCGTGAATTTTCATTCAAGCCAAATAATTTACTGAATCTGGTTTATTGAATCAACACATACTGTTGGTGCAATAACAGAAACAAGAATTGTATAAATTTCAAATATATATGACTCGTTTGTTCGTAAAGAAACATTGAAATTCAGCACGAGGATTTCGTCCTCTTTGGCTTCGTGACTGGTAATATATACATCTATATATACGCCTCTTAGATAGAGATGCTTTTTTTCACTAGTCCCTGTAGCTGACGTCAGCAAGGGTAAACTTTAATCACCACTAACTACATATCTGTGAATGACCTTCAACGATAGAATCACATGAGAGAGGCATTTTTAGTTATGGAATATATATATATATATATCTTGAAAAAAATGCAACGAAACTGCATAAGGATGTTACTTGGGGTGTCTTTATCTGACATGTGATTCAAACATCTCCCATTTTAGCATAGGAGTATCAAATGAAGAGTTACGCAACATTCTGTATATTTTATATTTGTCTAAATGACTATAAATGATACACTTTTGGGAATCCTGTTTTCTAACCATCCCCAAAAGCCTTCTATCGGATTGGTGAGTGTCTCTGCAATGGAACCCACAAAATTATTAGAATGATTCACTTTGTGATCAATACATCTAATAGATGACAAGGAGCCATAACCTTTCCACTCTTACATACAGAAGACTTCATTGTAAGCTTAAAAGCGAGTCGTTACTCAGTATCGACAGCATATTTACGTGGTTAGTTGTGGCATGTGTCATTCTGACGTATGAACTGATGGTTCGAGGCTTGTGAAGCTGCACTCAAATTCCTTTTGTCTGAAAAGCAGATGCTTTCAGCTGTTAATCTCTCATATGCCAAACATCAATACTGTGTTCCTACGATTCAACCTGGAAATAACTGCAGAACTGTCAAATTATACGTGAGTCATATTATCACTTAACCGGTTGACTGAACTCATTGTCCCTTAAGGTCCCCTTTTTGTTAATAGTGATAATGTTGCATAAAACACCTGAGTGACCGCCATGAACATTTTTCGAGGAATGAAACAAATGTCTCCTGAATACTAAATAGCAATTTGAATGCCCTCATTCAAAAACATATCCTCATTTTACCCTAGGATGTTCACTGTAGATCTGTATAAAATATCACAACGTCAGGTTGAATATTCCATCACTTACCATGAACTGAACAAGAAAGTGCACCTGACAGGATTTAAAACAGGAGGATACAGTGAAAATAATTTTTATGGTGAGATAGTAGTGGCTTCAAAAGTATTTTGAATAATAATAATAATAATAATCACTGCTTTATCCTGAGAATATGGCTCTAAGCATAATAGAGGATTTTCTGTGTAGGACATTTTGCTTCTTGTGTGTAGAATCGTCAAGTAATTGCAAGTGATGCAATTCACTTGAAGCACTACTGTTTCATCCAAAGGATGCTTCACTGCTGTCCATTTCTTTCAAAAAATGTCATAACAGTGGGTTCCATTGTCTTTCTGAAATCCATGCGTGAGAGTAGTTTACGTGTCATGAAAGCAGTTGAATGGTTAAAACACTATGAATTACACATCATAGTAAAACATTTTTGTATATCACAATGAATGGAAAACAAAACTTTATTGCTGTTTCCACTGAAATTTCGCTATTTAATGCCCCTGCTAATAGCTTTCTCAAAGTAGTATTATTAATCCAGAATTTACAAAATCCACTCAGCTTGCATTATATTACAACTTAATCATCGTTCATCAGCACGGAGGCAATTTTGCGTTGTCATTTCGGTAAACATAACAAAACCAACCAGGTGTAGATTGTTGAATTTGATAAGTGTATAAAACTATAAAAGCATCGTGTATTTACATAGTGAAATTGCTTATCAAATTCGTGTTGATTTTGTCACTTCATCGCAGATAGTGGCGATGGTGCTATAACCAGGTCAGATTCTGTTTCAGTCCATCATTCCTATTCAGACAATTTGGATTCCATTTGATATGAAGTGCTTCTAATGCAGTGAGACGTTCTTTGTGATTTCTGAAATGCTTTTCTACATTATTTCAATATTGTCATATGAGCTGAGAGTTTGTTAATTCTGGTTCATTTTTACTTCGATAAACCTATTAGCAGCAGCATTAAAAGCAGCGAAACGTCAGTAAAAACAGCAATATCCTTTTGTTTTTCATACATTGGGAAATTTAAAACACATTTATTAGAATGAATATCATATACCCAATGCCCAAATGTTTTCAAACTATTAAAAGTGAACTTGTTTCAGACATATATAATATGAAATACAATATATAAGATTCATTTGAATGAATACAAAAGGTTCTGGTTACCCAATGATTTAGGTGGGCCACCATATTTGATATAATTTATTACGTAATGTAACTTTAAATAGTTGGAATACGTCCTTTGCACTCTATCGACAGAATTACCTCATTTGAATTCAGTCATCAGAAATCTTGATTCATGGAACTGAAAATTTACCCTTCTCTTTCATTTTTACACACGGACAGGAAAATTTTCCGATTTCTTGTCTGGAATGATTAAGAAGATTTTCTCTTTGAATTTGTGAAGTATTTCTTCGGATACTTCAATCTTGGAAGTGATCTTTGAAGTAATTTAAGCTCCTTTGACAGATAGAAGTGTTCGTTCAAATTGTGAGGCACCAATAAGCCAAGGTGATATTGTTATTATTCGCTTAAATTCCGAGTGGAACATACAGCTTCGACAACACATCTTCACCTCGTTCTTTTTTCTGCTGTCCCATTCAGCTGGCTAACTCCACGAATGCCCACAATCTCTCATCTCCACCTCCTCGCCACACGATCTCCTCCATGTTACCCTTGCACTGAAGACCCACTCATCGCTTCCTACTTGGATTCGACCTAATCGATGATCTGCATAGCGGGATATCTCATTCGATGGCCTCCTTAATGTATGCCCGATCACTCCATCTCCATTTTCTCCTGCATATTTGTTGAGCAATCGGCTCTCCGTCGATTTGTTCCACTGTAGAGTTTCTTGTTGCTAATTCTTTTCTGCCAGCCGGCCAGCCGTCAGGCCATTTGATCTTCAGTATGGAGCCAGCCAGCGACCTGTTGGAAATCCTTTCCGTTACACACACTGCAAGTTTCTCACCCATATTGAAGGACTAACTTGACATTGGTGCTGAAAATGTGTATCTTGTTCCTTATCCCTAGTGCAGACAATTTCAAACTATACCAAGGTTTGTGAAGGCGTATCTTGCCTTTCCGATTCGGAATGCCGGACTTCATCTGTGCGTCTAAGTCTTCGAGGTTGTGTGACATTAAATATGCATCATCCAGACGCGAAATCCAGATCTTCTAGAGTCTTCTTATCTGTCCAGTGCATTCCTATCTTTTCACTCCCGACACACAGTCTGACGTTTAATCCAGCCCATCACAAATGAGAATATCATCAGTGATAGTTTCCAAATTACTTCCCGAGCAACGCTGTCTGTCCAAGACCTTTTCGAAGTCGATGAGCTTGAGGTAGAAACAGATTTGACTGCCATTCTATGCTTTGTTTTTTGATGATGATGCGTAGAGATGAAATTTGATCAGCACATGATTTGTCTTTCCTGAATCCAGCTTGTTCCGTCTAGGGGGAGAGTCCTGCATGAAGCGCATCTTTCATTAGATTGATCGCATTTAAAGTCCAGGGAGGCGGCAGGACCATACGGATATGATATGCTTCACTTGATTTGCGTAATGGTAGGAAATTTCTACTGAAACATTCAGCGCTAATCCACAAAGAATATTTTGAATATTCTGTAGATAAATGGAAATCAATAACTTGGCACTTCTCTACTTCTGAAGGCGCTATCCTTCTCATACACATCATCACATAGGATGTCAGGAAACAGAATTGTCATGGAGATCTAAGCAACGACAAAATGTATTGGCAAAAGTCCATTATTTTGTCTGATGCTAAAGTCTAATTTGACAGATGCGTGACTGGGATTATTTTGTCTTCCTTTGTTTCATAATAAACCTAAGGCTATGACAAGTCTGTTTACTAATTTAAGTATTCCACTTGAGTGTTCATTGTTACCGTTTACTCGTTAAGACATTGAAAGTTTGATATCTCTCGCTTGTTATTTCTCTAACCAGTTTTTCAATGAACTCACAGTATCGAGTTTGAGCTGTTCCATCTAGATAAGACACCAAAATTTTAGAAATCACATAGAATCACAATTTTAAAAATGCAAAATAATGAAATAAGTAGACTGAATCATGAATATACATTAGATCTATCATTCTCGCCATCTTTTCATAATTCCTTTATACAGAAGATATATGTCTGTCTCTCTATCTTCAACATGAAACTTTGTACCAGTGTGTACCAGTCGCCACACTTCAGTCAGTACACAAATCAAGAGGAGAAAATAAGACAAAAGGCAAAATAGAGACAGTGAACAGAGATATCAGGCAAAAAAGAACAGTAATATTGAATAACAACATAGTTTTATTGGAAATTGTAAGTCATAAGCAGTGGATGCATCTGTGCCAGCCATCACCGAGAACGATTTTGAATCATATCACCAACTGTCACCAGCCATCATTGGTTTTTACCATCTAAAGGATCCCAATCAAACAGAACTCTTCACTTCCACACTTGGCAGCTGGTTTAAACTTACTGTTGTGGATTTCATTGACTGATGATGCCATGTTTTGGTTTGACCACCATTAGCTCTTTTCCAACCTGATCCTATGTCAGCTACCAATGCGCGTTGTCGAGGAAGGCGATGGTGTGTGGGGATGCATGCGTAACACATGTCCTAATCATCTCAGTTGATGTAGCTTCACAGCCTCATCGATTTCTTTCTTCTCCTTACCTAGTACTCCACCGATGCCCAACCTTATTCTACTTATTCACAGTGGAGATAGAACGCAGGCACCTATGATCAAAGGCAGCTAGCCTCCACATTCATGTCCTTCACACTCATTTTTCAGCTCTTGCAGACATAGAGGAGGACGGAGTGGACTGCTGAGCAGCACGCGTGCCCTTTGGTCGATAGCTAGCCGGATATCACGTCTACATTAAAGATGGTGTAAAGTGACACATACCAAACAAGCTTTCTTGCCGTGGTTTCGTCACCTGTTGGCACCGACTGTTACAACTCTCCAAACCAGTGAAGTGGTCAACATGCTCTACCATTTCACTCCCCATTTCTAGGCTAGGAGTCAATGCAGTTCAGTCCTGTAGCCTGATCATCTCACATTTTACAGTAGCTTGCGAATCACATGCCAAACATTCGAAGTTCGCTGTTCATGGTATTCAGAAGACTCTACATTTTGTCAGCGTCCTCAACCAGGTGGCAGAACTATATAATCTGCATATTCTAAGTCAACCAGATTATTCCCTGATGGTAACAAGTCAATCACTGAGTCGCTGAAGTCACTTAGGGTTTGGTCCATTAGTACATATGTGTTAAAGATAAATAGAAATAGGGACACCGCTGGTTGTCACCACTTCAGATGAAATCTCTCTTTAATCTCTCACCTGGCTGGCTGCATGAGTTCGAATAGAGTGCCTCGTTATCAGAATATACATAACGTGACGTATATGAACTGTAGAGAGGAATTGTGTTGCTTGACACTTTATGCAACAGTAATGCTAACAAGCTTTAGACACATTCACCATAGGATGTTGTGTTTGGTGTGATTAAATAGTTCCAGAATTCCATGGAATTCTGGAATACTGCTTTGCAGACAACGTATAGATGCTTCAGTCATTTTAGGGACTTTGACGATGGATGAGCATCATCACCACAGGTAACTAAATTCATTGAATAGAAAGTGTGATCTGTCAGGGACAATCAATATTTTGAAGGTCTTATTTAAAGTAACACGTTTTCATTCACTCACATATAACGCATACACTCCCACCTGGTATATGTAAGTAAAATACAAAACATTAAAAACAACAAACGAAAAGCTGAATTCTTCTTAAGTTCGTGAAGTAGTCGCTATCAAACGTCTGAAACAACATTTATGTGTGTATTCAGAAAGAAGCAGTGGTCAGTGATTCCTCACCCATTCTGGTAACTGGATGTATTTATTCTCTCCTTCGTCTGATCACGCAGTCTTTGACTATAACCTCACCCCCCTTTTGATATTTATTCAATTTATTAGTCACTCATCATCTCGTCTTTATTGCGTAACTCCTTTACCATTGCATGCATACATTTACTTTGTTTAAACTTTAACTCGCTGTGTAAAAACTATTTAAGCGTAATTTTCTGAGCACTGTTCACTAAGACCAGAACCTCCTGTAAACTGATAACATGTGAAATTTGCAAGTATATTACAACTTTTCTCTATATGAACTCAATATTAATTAGTTGAGACTGCAAGCAGATGATGAGGAGCCAACGAAATAGACGATGATGCAATCATCTTCTTATTCTGCAAAAACTTGTCGTTGTTCATGATTTATTCAAATTCATAAAGGGGGATAAATTTATGAAGTCAAATCATTTTCTTAGAATTAATGTATTAGTTCATTTGCCACCACACTTAACAGACGTACTAATCAAAATCACAAATGGAGAACAGAAAATGGGTCGTACACGTATATATTCCTTCAACTAGTTCTACTCGAATGGTTTCCAAGACAAAGGATGAAATATTAACATTTATGTCCCCTATATCATGATATGCGAAGAATGTGAGTAATTACGAAAACCAAGAAGTGAAATGCATCATATCAACGGTGTACAGCTTGAAAGAATTTTCAAATATTGGTGTTTGCAGGGATTTTGTTTTGACTGGTTGAAGGATTTCATCATGAGCTGACATCAGTTACAGAACCATTGGAAAACCACCTGGTTAGCCAGACCTTTGGTCAACCCAGTTTGCTTACTCTTCATTAGTTCGCACCAAACGCCAGGGTTTGAACCCAGGATCTCCTGGTTACAAAGCGAGCCAGATCGTAGACCATTAAGCAACTGGGACTCGCCCGATCCAATGGCCAGCCCGTCAATTCTAACTTCTGCAAATTCAGGACGTAGCGTGACCAATTCGCAATGTCTTCTTCGATAAGTTACTGCCTCACCTTTGAATGAATGTCTTCAGAATGTGGAAGTCAAGTGATTTCGTCTAGTTCTGCGTATATGCTTCGACATTAGTGCACAGGCTTTCAAAACCAGTAAGTATGTCATATCTGAAACACTGAAATGATAATATTTCAGTTATTACTCAGTAGCTATCGGTTATTTGTTTTGAGGTGGATGGAAAAGAACCATGGAAATGAAGATGACAGCTGAAGAATAAGGAAGACCATTACTGTTTTTTCTTCTATGTGAAATCCATCATATGATTACTGGTAAAATTTAGGTCTTCCAAGAATAAGAGGAATTTTGCAAAGTCCCTATTCCATGATTATCCACGTATAATAATTTGTGTCAGACAATTTCTCCTTCCTGTTAAAAAGTAAGCGACTTGCACTTTGATGATGTTTCCTTAAGACATAGTCAGGACAGTTTGGTGAACAACAGCATGTCAATAACAACGATCTGCACTGTAAATACTGTAGGTACCGAATGGTCCATACATGCAATAAATTACACGCAAGTGGGATGAAATAGCTGTCCACTACTCCGTGGCTGGTTTTCAATGGTTCTCCAACTGATATCAATCCACGGTCAAACTCGTGATCGTACAATCCAACTCTTGAAGGTTTGCTAAACGCTGAAACACACATAATAAATGGATACCATCAAGACGGTTTACAAACCCACCGAAGAAGAATTATCTGTATTGTGATCCACCAAATGAATTGGCAGAATACGCATTCAGGCTATATGTTGACTTTTCGAAGTGCGTTCCCCAATTTGTTTACACCAGAAAATCACCTTAAGAAAGTAGCCGCCCATAGAAATCTGGTTTTGCTGTGTAAATGCACACTGCTTAGTGTACTGTACGCATGGATGACATTCGCTAGTATTCAATGTTTTGTCTCTCAGTCTAGTAAACCTGCTTTGCTTTCTCCAGTTGTTTTGATACTTACATTACAAACTTGACTGATAGAATTCAGTGTGCACCAGAGATAGGACAAGACACACACACACACAATACACTAGTTACTGACTGGTGTCTAATCAAAATTGTCCAATATAGGCAGTCATACAGAAGATCAATCGCTAGCCTGAATAGCTCAGTAGCAATGTCTATGACTGCAGGCGGCCCTAAGTGATGTGGGTTCGAATCTCCGAAAGAGGTACATGAGTTCTTTCAAGGCTGCAGATACGCCTGCCTTGCTGACTGGTGAGTGCCAACTAGCACGAAGCCTTGTCGAGGCAAAGCTTCCTGCCGATTGCCCCCAAGCATCTGACACTTATATCTGCCTTTTGCCTAGACTTGTATACATGTACACTGTGAAACCTTGGTAACAACCAGTGGATAATATGTTAGCAATGAATAGCTCAACTCACAATATATCGAAATGAGAGGACCTATAAAGCAATAAATGAAGATATAAAGAGACAATACAGTTATAAGTAAAAAAACTGAATGTGATACAAGTAACGTGTTAAAAACTAAAACCAAGTACGTGAGTCATTTGTATGCAACAGCTTTAGATGCCATCAACATTCATTTCAAAACTCATTACTTTGAAGTGGATTTTATAGTTACTTAACTGATTTCAAAAGAGATGTCATCATGAACTGACATCACATATACAAATATTGTAAATTGTTTGTATTGGATGGTTACAGGCGAACAACCACAGGAAGCCTTGAACTCAGGTTTCGTGCTTTCAGCACTCAAGTTCAAATCTCAGAAGAGATATGAGTTTGTTCAAGGCTGCAGCTACGCCTGCCTCGCTGACTGGTTAGCGCCAACTAGCACGAAATCCAGACAAGGCAAGGCTTCCTGCCGATTAACTCCAACCATCTAATATTAGCGATTCAAAGTGCACCGTGATGGCGAGTCACCCAGAATGGTGACCACGTTGTTAACCTGAATGATAGACACTAGACACTTCACACAAATTACTAACTAGTATCCAGTCGAAAATATTTTAGATTGTGTAACACTGAACATTCGCCTGTTTCAGCTGTGGTTTCTTCGGAAACACATTCCTACAGCCTGACAACCAATGAAAGCAACGATATTAAGGTTATAAGTCAAACACATTCGCCACTAAGTTAATGACTTGCAATCTGACCATCCTTTTTATTAAAAATAATAGTAACAGTAGCTTTATGCAAGGAGAAAGTTATGCACAGAGGGAATTCTCAGGATCCGACAGGTGATATTCGCTTATTTCTTGCATGAATCCGTGTGTTTATCTACAACAGTATTAACAAGTTGGTTTAGTGACAGTCCACTCGATGAACTGACAGATTTTATTGCCCTTCACAGTGGGACAAAGTCTTTCTTAAGTAGCTCAGGGAAGATTAAGGCAGATTAATTGAGAAGCATAGGTAGAATACAAGAATTAATTTTTAATTAGTTTAATACAAGTATCAAACCAGATAAAATATTCATCATATTTCGCCTTTCTGACTAAAATCACCGGCATTCTTGTGTACTTGAAAACATACTACATTCATGGGAATCTTATTTCAGAGGAGAGAAAGATAATGCTAAGAAGTATCATCAGTGATACACCGCCATTCATACTAACATCAGTTTGCCCGGTTGTGACCGTCAGACATACATAACATGCATAAAAACTATTCCGTGGTCGCATGTATTTGACATCAATGGAAAATAATTTCTTACTGATTAGTGTGCAGTTATCTTCACCTTCAATCAGAGATTCATCATAAAGTGAATTAAAAGAAAGCAATAAGGAACTTATTCTTCATTACTACAGCAAATGAAGAAGTGAAAAATATTATGTTTTTGTTCCTTTGCATTCACAATGGAACGTAGGGCTTCTTGCTAGAGGCTTGACGTTTTTGTAGCAGTGATTATTTTTAGAGGATGGGACCGAATCTCGGCCCACCTGCGTGGTTGGTGAGCACTTCACAGCTGTGTCACCGACGCGCAAAAAAGCTGGCAACACCCGGTATTCCCAGTCGGTCACCCATGCAGGTAATAACTGGGCCCAACGTTGCTTAACACCGGTGATCTGACGAGAATCGGTAATTTCAACCTGGTATGGTCTCCGACAGAGTGAGAAATATCGATGTTAACAACTTTTGTTGTTGTTTATGTGTTCATCAACTTACATTCATCATCTGAGAAAATGTGTTTCCACAAAAACAAAACAATTTGTATTATTCCGTATCATATAAATGTAGTTGTTTCAAACTGAGGTATCGGAAACAAATGATTATGAATTAGGAAATCAGAAGGCTAATCATCCTTTCTACAACAACCAATACCCATCTCTGAGTTCTACTGCATGGCTGACAAAACTTCCTTGAGACACACGCAGTCATGAAATACTCCAAAGACAGCAAAAGGATTATCCCTCTTATTCTACTATAAATTAGCAGTTCTATTAAAAACAAGTAACATCATACATTCCAGTCTGAGTACAATACGTGCACTATGAATCAAGAAGATTAGCTAGGATCAAAAATTCTGACAACAGGAATCGCATACACATATGCTTCCTGTGGACAGCCCATGTTCAGAATGACCTTCATTCTGTCCATCAAAATTACATCGTACAATACATTAACAATGTACTTATAACCACAAAGAAGAGCATCAAACATCAGAGATCAAACAAGCACAAAGACAAGTAATGCGAATTAATCCGACACATGGTATGTGTGTTAATGTCAGGACAACGATATACAGCCCATTGCTGAATTCAGAAGACTAAGCCTGATACACTGAACACTTTACACAGTAACCAAAGCGGAAACATAATACGACAGTTTCTTCCTCCGTCCATTTTGAGGTACAATTTCAAGTTACTACTACCATCAAGGTCTGTGAAAAGACGTCAATAATAAAATGCACAATAATTCTTCTGATAGTATATCTCCAGTTCTCTGCCAATCAGCGTACAGTTAAGCAGGGATCCTTGGGGGGGGTATCCGACCAAATGGATGCCAGTGCGTATAAACAAGCCTTTCAGCGTTCACCAACACTGACAAAGCCTAAAATTCATTTGCTCAGTTCCAGATTGATGTATGAATTGTTACCTTTTGTGTAAACTACTCAACCAGTATTCTCATCATCTTAATAGCAATAGATTTATTTGTTTATTTTCATACAAGTATAAAATTATAATTTGCATGAGTGTTTTACTGCCTCATCTATGACAAGCGACAGTCACTGTTTGAGTATAAACTGTAGCTTACCTCCAGTTTCTATACAGTTAGTAGAACACATTGTAAATGCACATTACAAAATGACTGACTGTTATGAATATCTCAGTATGTTAGCATTGAAAATTCATAGCTTCGTACTAAAAACCTGAATGATTACAAATTTGGATTGTTAAACACAAAGCTAGCAACTATTCAATATTTAAGTCTTCAAAATATGGACGGCGGATGTTCACATAAAATGTTTCCGTAAGCTCTCATACATTCCACATCCAATGAGTCATGTACATGAAAGGTAAAAGTAAAAATTCCAGCTTACTTATTTTGCACAGAATGGCTAAAAATGTAAACAATTTCATATTTCAGAAACTTCCATCACAAGTAAATGCTTTCAACAGTGCCACTATGAGACATCTTGTTGAAACAGGCCATGAAGTGGACAGCGTGAAATTTTCAAGATTATCAGTAGACGATGCAAGGGAAACTCCTCAAATTTGCCGAAGAACTCACTCCCGGTCAAATGTTTGAAACCTGACGTATGTGTGTTCAGAAAGGTTCACTTATTGGTCTTTATGTGTTTTAGTGACCCAAATTCTATTGTCTTTATCTCAGCTAACTGCATAATTTTTGCATTCATTCCCTCCCACCATTTTTGCCTTAGTGTGATTCAATTCCTTTTATTTCTATGTCTTCAGCTAAACTCACTGCACTATTACTCGTCATCATGAACTTCTCTCCTCTTCTCCTAATTGTGCAACATAACTTTTAATTTATCCCACCATTAAACTTGCATGTTTGTATAGTGACCTCCATCACAATTAGTTAAATAAGTAGTGGAACTTCTGAACACTGTTTATTAACATGTGTGTCTCTTTCTCTGTCTCAGTTAACAAAAACCACGTTGATCCTTGTTGCAAGTATGAAAAAATTCTGTGTACATTTACACGTGATCAACTTCTAGGTTTTAAGCAGCTGAAGAGAATCCGACGATGAAACAATAAATGAGAATGATGATGGCCTCCTAATAGTATTATTCTGCACAAACATTTTGTTGTTTTTGCTCGATCTGAAGGTGATCTGAAGATTGAGTGTGAGGCTGACTATCCTGCCGTCCATAAGACAACATTGCTGCTGCTGCTGAAACTTCATAGTTCGTACATAGCCTGAAGTCGTATGTTCCACTCCGAAGTCAACCCCAGATGAATGATAGCAGTAATAGTGGATTCAATTCACTTTCGTCTGCTGATATATTTTTTCGATTAGGTCAGGTGAATCAAAGTTTCTCTAAGTTACTCGTATCGTAATAATTATTCAGGTGATACATTTTATCATTCAAATGAAAGAAGGGAAGGATCAATTGATGTTATGGAATTATTATTTCGTTTGAGATAAACCAGACAACATGTAACTCCTATTCAGTCAAAATATATTTTTTTCACCAGTCCTTGAATTTCAAAATCACGTTCGTGATAGCAGCCACATCTGCAGTGTGAATTAAATTAAACGCCAGTCAGCCAGACAGAGTATATCCCGATGACTACTCATAGTGAAATCGAAGAGGTTACAGAAGATAAAACTGACGGAATACAAAGCAATATTTAGAAAATTATTCTTCACAATATATATATATTCTTCATGAATCAAGAATAGTACTTACAGTTGAGCTGAAAGTGAAAAACTGACAAGCGAAAGCCAATAGTGATTACACGCGTAAGCATGTTGATGTCAAACATGTCACTCACACAAAGAAACCAGTGAATTTGATTGTGCACAACAGTCATATGCTTCTTATCAGCCTTACTGCATAAAACACTCACTTTTTTCTCAGGTCACTGAGTATATCTAAGCATTTGGAGACGACATGTATTAAAATGTACACCTTCTGGTGTATTTGTAAACGTTTGTTTGTTTTCTCAAAGTATGACCAGCCAGTCCACCTCCATTTCTTCCTGCATATTTGTTACACAATGACTTACTGCTGGCTTGTTTCGTTCGCTGCCACAGATGCCTCCCTGTTGCTGATCGTTTCTAGCCGGCCATCTCATCTCGAGTAGTGTTGAGTGAAGACAACTGTTGATGGAGGTGTGTAGTTTGTTCAAAGTGACCTACGTGACGCACTTCCAAGTCTCTGATCCTTATGGTGATTAGCACTGACTTCACATTGGAGTTGAAAATCCGGATCTCATTTTCATTTTCATGCTGAGTGCTGCTGATCTCCATACTGACTTGAGAGAAATGAAAGCTCGCATTGATTTTACGATCCTCGCTTTTACGTCCTCTTCAGTTTCGTCCGCTTGTATTTGAATCGTTGCTTCTCGGGTGAGTAGTTGTACGAGGTTGTTTCGTCTTTCAGATTTCTCTCATTTATGCTGGCTGATTGTCGTCTGTTGCTGTTGCTGTTCGTGTTGGTTTTGGCCATGAATCATCATTTCAAATTGTAGTCATAAATTTACATAGTTTCCTCAAAATAATTTTAGTTATTTTCGATATTATATTTGTAACTGAAGAATAGGATAATATATCGTACTGTTTTACCCTCAACATGAGCTTGTGGCAAGTTGTTGCGTAATATCTTTTGAAAGACACAGCCTAATAAAACTAAAAACACATATATGTACTCTGAAGGTCTTATCTTCTCGATGAGGTGACCAAGAGTACAATGTACAATCAGTACAATGTAGTCAGATATCAACAAGAAGTGCACATTAACTAATACTCTCTGCTCAACTGATGGCTTCCGTGATCCAGTAAACAAGAAGATAACTCTTTGGCGCTTGAAACGGTGAGTGGTGGGTTCAAGTGTCAGTGGGAACACTGTCCAACACTCACTAGGAATCTAGGTGTACCAAGTTGATGATGAGCGCAAACATAAGAAGAAATGATCATCTTAGATTTCCTTCTTAGTCATCGGCAACCAAAATAACATCTTTCCTACTTAATAGTGGACACAACATAAGAATGAATATTCAGAACAATATTTATAAAACAAAATCTGAAATGTAACTAATCATATTTGTGGAAATAAAATACGAGTTACTTACCACACGTCAGTAAGAAGAGAATAGTAGTCAGACACTTGAACAGCATTGCTATTCTTTTGTGTTTGAACACTTGGGAAGAGACCTGAAAACAGTTGCAGAACTCTAGGCTATATATACACTTTTCTCTAGTTTATAACACGTGATAAAAGCAAACTGTCATGACTTTGTTTTTGTGAGAGGTAGAACAAACCGGAACGGAGATATTTGATGCCTCAACTGTCATTTCATAATTTCACTATTTGTAATTGCGCTTATAACAACAGCGGTATTCTTTGATTGTTACTCATTCCTAATTATGTGGGGTGTTCAACGCCTATCAATCAAATGAATGTGTTAATCGATACTTAGAATAGGCATAATTGTTTTTCATTTCAAAGAAACAATGTTGAATGGAAATCAGTAATTGGTACATCTTGTGAGTACACACAGATGTTTTGAATAATTTTCTTAGAGAAATATCAGACAGCAAACATATCAAAGTTATTAAAAGAGAATGAAATGCTTTCAACACTATTCATTGTGCAGACGGATAAAGCTGTTTATTATTGAAACGATGGGTGTTGGTATCCGGTCTAAATGAGAACACCAGTTGTCACTCAGTGCAGCAATATGGTAACATCCACCAGTCGACGACGTTTTGCAAATAGGACGAAACACGCAGACCGTGGATGGCACTGCTACTCACCATATAGTAAAATAGAGCTGTCATGAGTCACAGGATTTCATCATGAGCTGACATCGGTTAAAGAACTATTGGAAAACCACCTGGGAATACTGGACAGCCAGCTGTTTTCTCAGCTTCGTTTGGGACTCCTCAACAATACCCGTCCACCGGAACTCGAATTCAGGACCTTCTGGTTACAAGGCTAGCGCGCTTGTGGATGATCAAGGCACTGGGACCCAATCCAATGGCCAGTCTATGAATTCCAACTTCCGCCAATCCACGACGTAACGTTACTGACACTAGCTAAAATATTCGATGACTATTCGTCCTCACACCCAACCTGGTGTATCCCACTGGTCACAACTTCCCAGGTAGCTACCTACCTGTGTAGGGTCAGTACTCCCTGTTTGTTTTACAATGGTTCTCTAACTGATGTCAGCTCATGATGGAATCCTGTAACCAACCAAGCAAATCCCCACAAACCAATAGTGGAAAGCCCTTATTGATAATTAGCTGTTTTTAACACTTGCAAAGGCGTATTTTTGTGAGTACCACACATGAATCAAATTTAGCTTAGTTAAACAAGCTACGGAAAAGAACAACAGAATCGTTGAAACGGTCGACATTCACCTAATGCTTCACCATAACGAAATAAGATCCCATTAAGTCTTCAAATTACCTGTTGGCAAGGTTTCTTCTAGTCTTCATTAGGTTTTACTTCTATCTGACAATTAACATGGGTGGGCTTTTCTCAATCCTTTACACTCCAAGTGGAACATGTGACTTCAGGCTTTACAATTGCAGAAGTGGTGGTATTTTTTGCGAGGTGAATGAATAAATGAATATAAATGAAAAATCAAGTATGATGCTTTGATAGGTGCTGACAAGGTGTTCAGTTCTGCAACCTCTGATCACTTCAGTGCAGCCTAATTTGTAGCTTTCCTGAGTAATGTTTTCTAACACGATTCCCAAGAACTCGGAGAGAACTGACTTGTTACCTAGCTCTACAGGAACTAAGTAAAGGGATTTGCTAAGGGATTGCTTATCACTATACACATCCTATTCACACCAATATCAAATATCCAGATCGCTGAGATACTGCACTTATCACTGGTTTCAGAAGATTGGGCCTAATACGCAGATCACTATGCACTGTAACCGACGAAGAACAGCAGAAAACGGTTGAATAACACGATTATTTATTCTTCAAACGACAAAGAAACAGATTAACAGTGTTTAATCGGTGCTAATGTGTGTAAATAAATGTGAAAATATAATATACAACAGTACTTCTGATCGCATTTGTTCAATCTTCTGCCGAACAGCAAACGATGGAGCATTGAAAGGTTCCTTGTCGCTGGCGAACGCAGACCAGATAAAATTAACAAACTTTTTAAAAGTTAACCAACATGGACACCTAATTTCCATAAAACAAAATCATATTATACATTAAATAAATAATTTGTAACCTGTATTAAATTGGTTTCTATGTCCTATGCGAATTATTTCCACACACTTTCAAGAACAAAGTAAACAAAAAGAAAACTTCTTCCATTTCCCATACCAACAACCCCCAGTGTAAGATTGATCATATCTGGCAGCATTTGTCTGTAACAATAGTCGTCAGATTTAAAGATGATTTAAAGATTAAAGAAGATTTCCTTGGTCACTGAGGGATAAACAAGAAAGTGAACATCTGAAGCGAGCTGCTAATCAAATAGTCAGATTTTTGAAGGTCAATGCACAATTGTGAGAGTGCGTGTGCCTCGTCTGACATTCTAGGATTTCCAAATGAACTGTAACATTAAACAATTCAGCAAGAGAGTATTTATCCCACAGGTGACTGTCTTCAGAAATAACTATCAAGAAAGTCTTTTGAATGAGTGTTAATGTGCTTATAGCATTATATCGGGAGTTGGATAACATCCAATACAAATTACATGATACCATGTAGTGGAGAGAAGTGTCACTTCACTCGCATTCGGCAAATACGCTTCATCTTTGACTTTTGTAGATTTCCATCTACACTCATATCTCAACTGCTTCATTGGACGCTGGATGACGACAGTCAGTTCGTGTCACCGAAAAGGACGGAGTTTATTATTCAGTTAATATAAGTTATTGGAGTTTATAACTGAATATGCTGGCATTCGATTATTTCAAAAGCAATTTTCCTCATAATAATTGGATAATCTGCTAGTGGAACGGCAGCAGACAAACTATCTAGAGCTTATCTTCAACGCACCATTTGCACAGATCTGCGTGTTGTGGTGCTTCTGACCTTCCTTCATATTGCGGTTCTTTGTGTGCATTTCACGTCTCCAATGTATCTCCACAAAGATGTATTACTTTCTTTCTCTGAAATCTAATGTATCTCCTTGATATTTGATCTTTCAATGCCCATGAACGTCTCTCTACATACTACTGATAAATGCTATCAGTAGCACTCACCACAGTAAGCAAAACAATATTCGTATGCATTCCATCTCATCATCAACAATTCAGAAGTAAATAAATTGTCAGACAAATTTGTTTTCACAAATGTTCCATGCAAATGTAGACTATCATATGACTACCTAAAAGGTAATTTACACATAAAGGCATAACAACGAATTCCTTTTGCAGTCACATTCTCTATGCACCTCCTGTGTGTGTGAGTGAGTCTGCTTGTATGCAGAATATAAAAGTGTCCACCTGTCATAGTGACAATCAATTTTGGTGGCGGCATCATAAGTATACTTTTGAAGATTTGAGAGGAGGAATTTCTTTGTCAGCTTCCTTCTCATTCTCCGATGTGGGTGAAATGAATGTGGAGATGGTAAACAACAATGATGAATTTCTTGTTTTCTTCAGTAAATGTGAATGAGGCTCATCAATCTTCGGATGAGCAGATTCTTTCCACTAGGCAGTACTAAAGTAAACACGCGCAAATTCAAAGTAACTAGTTATTTTGAATTTGTTATATGCGAATTCCAGTCTAGTTGTAGTCTCTTCATTTTGTAGCCAAAAGTTAGTTCAAACCTGCAGTGATATCTTTTAGAAACACACTACATTTCATTGGCGCTCATGATCATGTATACTTGAAATTAGAATGAATAATGATAGAAACTGGCTGACAGCTCACTATTCGGAGAACATCGAATCTCACAGGGTTACTGTCTCAAAGAGTTGTTTGCACTCATGATTCCCTGATTCTGAATAATACATAGCCCAGTCAATTTGTGATTGGGTTCTCTAAAATTCATGTCAGTTCCTGCTAGTTTATAGATGTCGGCATATCACTTATCAGTAATGCTCTGGTTAGAGCTGGCTGCTTGCCAGTTTGTTAGACAGTAATTTACGTCATTATTCACTTCTTCGATATTGGTCGTGATTAAAATAAGAACAAAGGCTGATTCTAAAACTAATCACAGCAGACTGTGCGTAGGCGGATACAATTTGCAGATGGATAATCTGAACGTCAATAAACGGCCACAAAAAGATGAAAGTTTAACGTTCAGCGAGAAAGCACTAATCAGAAGACTGTGTTATATGTTGTCTGTACATAGCGCACACTTCCCAAACGCATCTCTGAACATTATCCAGCATGGTTAGCAAAAAGGCAATGCAAGACAATTACTAGCTCAATTCTCGAGAACTTGGTGGTCTCAAGCCACGCAGATCCCCCAGAGTCGTCTTTCAATATCTTCTTTAAGGTGAGGAAAAATTGTGCAGAGGCATCAGGTTTCTGCTTTTAGGTATGACGGAGGCGCTGGCGGTTCATCAAAACAACCCCGAACTCTGTATACAGAAAAAGTTTATCCAGTCTCTTATTCTACCTCTTCATGAATCGTTCGCTGTAAAACAATATTATTTTTTAAATTTTAAATTTTACTTTTAGTTTACTTTCACTTTGATAATTAATTCACTATTATCACTCTCACATGTTCTTTTTGTACAGTTTCACACCCTCTTCACACTTGTTAAATGGACACTCGACTACCTTTATTCTCACTCAATAGCAATTTTAACCTTATCAAATGTCTAACTTTGTACTGTTCAGTACCAACTTTTTATTTTTTGCTTCTAAAGCCACTTCTGAGTAATGATAACAATTATATCACCCCAACTGTACTACTCAGTAATGGACTACTATACTATACTATCACATGAATGCCTTTGTTATGACAGCAAGTAATTTTTTAAAATTTTATTCCTGTGCGTTCTCATTGGAACATGGGGCCCCTTCAAGCTCGAGTTTTGCACTTTCTGTAGCAGTGGTGTTTGTTTTTACGGAATAAAGTTGATAGCCTCATGCCCAACCTTCCCTCTTTACCAGTCTTATTTCTGGCTCAGCGAGGTAAAGGGGTGACTTGTCGGCCTGGGATCGAACCCCGAATCAC